CGGTGACGTCTGTGATTTTCGATATAATCTTTCAGTCATGACATGGTTTTTGTTTGTGCTGCCAGATGATTGTGTTTAGTGTGTGTGTGTGTGTGTGTGTGTGTGTGTGTGTGTGTGTTTGAGAATCACCTATTTGGAGTTGAAGGGGGTCGAGTCTCAGTTCATGGTCCCGTCTCTCCGTTTGTTGCTACTGTGCGAGAACACTTCTCACAACGGTTCTTAAAACCATTTACGAATCCTGTCTCTGCCACTTCGCTGTCTAGGTCGTTCCACTTCCTGAAAGTACTGTGAATAAGCAATTATTTACTTCCCCATTTTGGCTCATCTTCCCAGACAATTACCCATTGTTTTCTTCCTGATAGGTATTGCTTGATTCAGTACAGCGCCTTTCCTGTTATTTTTGCTTCTCCAGTTTTTTTTTTCTGGTCTTTTATGCTTTTTACCGTCAGTCAAATATTTCTTTCTCCCTCTTTTCTCACTTTTGTCACTTTTTCTTAGAACTGTTTCTTAGATAATGACGGTTGTTTAGCATGAAACAGTTGTATTCTAGATTTTGCACCATGTTCTAATTATCCCTCTCCATAGCCTTAAACTATCCAAGCTTGTAGGTCATTCCTACCTATGTGTCCCCTTCTTGCATTTCTCGATGTATTCTTTCGCACGTTGGATACTTGCCTGTATCACTGCTTGATGAAGTTTTTTTTCTCGTGGAGTTTTTGGTTCGTGGTCCACAAACCATAAAGAATTTGTTTAGGGTTTTTCTTTGATGTAATGCTATAGGCTGAGATTCCACATTTGTTATTACATGGAGGTAAATGGTATAAAAAACCGACATGGTGGAAAAATAACACACAGTGGGATTTTTCAAGTCACAAACAGATGTATTTGCAGTCAATGAACGATCCCATTATACTGCCTCTACTTCTATTTTCTATCTGTTATTACATACCATAATTATCCTTCCTGTGTTTGTTGGTAATTTATTCGTTCTACTGTTTCAAATTTCTGTTCTATCTTGATTGATGTATACTTATCGTCCTTATGTTGTAATCTTGTCTCATACCAGTTCCGTTGCTAGAGTCAATGTTTTACTTGGCATATTTTATCCCATAGTTACCTTCTGATTCACTGGAAATTTGCCACCTTATATACTTCAGCGTCTCTGTCAATTGAAAGTTGACTTGACTCTCCCATTCCATCACCACTCATGTCTCATTGTTTGTCCCTCCATCGACTTCATGACCATCATGGATAATCAGAGACCTTCAGCATTTTGCCAAGCATGTTTCCTAGTTTAGATTGCCTATCTGTAGTTTTTTTACTCAGGGTTTGACAAGGTAGATTAAGGATCCCTAGCTTTATTGACAACCTATTTACAGGTTAAGGATCCCTAGCTTTATTGACAAGCTAAGAGCAGTTACCTACAACAGCTTATTTGAAAGCATTTTTATTGTTATGAAACATACAAGTAGAGAACAGGATGAAGTTAGAGCTATCTGTGGGCCAGCATTTTCATTTGATCAACTGACTTTATCTCGTTGACATCATAATGCTGTTCGAATGAGTTCCATTCTCGAGTCATTCTGGGGTAAATGATCTCATATGAAGTGATGTTCTGGAGAAGGGTACAGCCAGAGTGAAGCTGCGGCTTTCTGCCCGTCTTAGGGTATAGAAGCTTGTCTTCACGCTGTCCTCGAAGTGGATCCAAGTGTGGTACTTTGACAATATTGGCCTTGTACATAACAGTAAGGCCACCCACATCCCTTGTGTTGAAGGCTCTGCTGAAATGGCAGATCTATCCAGGATGGGTCCAGGCAAGAGATGAGACGTCTTGCTCTGTTCTCTGCTGTCAAGCAGTCGCAGATGAGAGGGGGGACAGCCAAACCAAGAAAGTGAAGCTTACTCAAGGTGGGAGAGTACTTGTGCCTCATACAGAATCTTGCAACCCCTACTGTCAAGCAGATGTAGATACCGTGAAGTGCTGTAAGCTTCCTGGCTGCCTTGTTTGCAAGATTTACAACGTGGTTCTTCATAGTTTGGAGTCAAATTTCACCCCAAGGATATCAACTTCTTTCCCAGGTACCAACACCCTCCCATTCATCCTTACTACTGCACTGGCATTACATCATGGTGCCTAGAGACAGTCACCATTTGTGCTTTCTCAGGTGCAAATGTTACTTGCCATTTATTTTCCCCAGCTGATATAGCTCTTAGTTGGTGATTGATGTAGCTTAGAGCAGCTGGCATTTCTTCTCTTGGATAAGTGAATGTCAGTGTACAGTCGTCTGCATATGCATGGGATTCTGGTATGAGATGAAGGTCATTGAAGCAGACATTCCATAACAATGGCCCCAGCATGCTTCCTTGTGGAACACTTGCCCCAATATGATGTCTTGCTGATTCCGTTCCATTGAGAACTACCCTTAGAGATCTACCATGAAGGTAATCACTGAGGAGACATAGCATAGAGCCTACAATTCCCAGAGCTTGCAGTTTTGCTAAGAGGCCCTGGTGCCCTACCCGGTCGATAGCACCAGCAATGTCCAGTGCTACTACTGGAGTCATCCTGTGACTGGTGCCATTTAGTGGAGAGGTTTAACAACAGATCAGCAGCACTGTAACCTTTCCTGAAGCCATATTGACGGTCACAAAGTAGTGAGTGGTAGTTAATAGTTCCTTTGTGTTTCCCTTATCTTCTGTACCTTCCGGTCTCCTGAGATCATTTATGCAAATATCTTGTTTTCCTCCTTCCTTTCAGTCTACATCCCCAGCTGCTGTTTCCCCTCACATCTTTGTTTCCTACAGTTCCTTCTTCAGCTGTTTTAGATCTTTTATTTAGCTGCCTACTTACAGTTAGGGCCTGGAGGTGAAATGTGTTGAGGTAGGTTAACTTTTAGCTTCTATATTTACTAGTGCATAATATATAGTTTGCCTTAGTTACTATCTTTGGTAGACTTTTATCTCCTCTTGACAGTACTGCAGCACAAAATATCTGTGGTAGACTCAGTGGTAGAAAGTATCTGTGATAGAACGTGGTAGACACTACTACTACAGAAACTTTATCTCTGAAAGTAATTGTATTTATAAGGGAACTATATTCTTGTGCCACACCAACCTAGATACTCTTGTGGCACCACCACCATCACCAGACGTATTGCGGGTAGCATCGGCCGTCACCAGACGTAGTGCGGGTAGCATCGGCCGTCACCAGACGTAGTGCGGGTAGCTCGGCGTACAGACTTGTGGGTAGCATCGGCCGTCACCAGACGTAGTGCGGGTAGCATCGGCCGTCACCAGACGTAGTGCGGGTAGCATCGGCCGTCACCAGACGTAGTGCGGGTAGCATCGGCCGTCACCAGACGTAGTGCGGGTAGCATCGGCCGTCACCAGACGTAGTGCGGGTAGCATCGGCCGTCACCAGACGTAGTGCGGGTAGTTTAACTAGAGAGAGCAACTGCATGAGTCTGCATTTACCACTACCCCTTCCTTCCACATCTCCGCTGGACCTGGCTGAGGGCCAAGGCACCATCCTTGGTTACTGTAGTGTCACTTGAGTGCCAACATCAGAGCACACCCCACCCTCATGATCAAATTACTGCACACACACACACACACACACACACACACACACACACACACACACACACACACACACACATGCAAAACAACCACAAGGGGAGTAAAATGATAGCTCTAGGCCTTTCGTGTTGCAATCAACATAACAGGAACTTGCAAAATGGCAGAAAAGAGGAGGATGTCCAAACAAGTACTTTCCCAAAGAACGTCTTCACTGGAGTGAGTGAGTGACGGAGAGAGAGAGAGAGGGATGGAGGGAGGAATGGGTACAGGAAGTACCCATAGGCATACCAGTGCCCATAGCCAGAAGGAGGATTATTATAGCAATAGATAAATCCCACATAGTAAGTAAGAAAGTAAGTAAGTAAATTTATTCAGGTATACACAATACAGTTACATAGAATTATCATACATAGCAGCATATGTGTAGAGAACCTGGGATAACCCAAAAAAGTCAGGAGTGACTTATTTCCATTGGGGTCCTTTCCTTATTTCCATACATTGGTATTGTAATGGCCTAAACGAAATTAACGTGGCAATAATAAAAAAAATCGGTCATATTCCACTAAGATATCAGTAACTTTACATACACAAATATATTGTCAGTGGTACAGAAGTCATGGTAATTATGGGGTAGCCAACCACGGGAAAGTGTCCATTTAAAGGGAACGAGAAAATGGTAACATTTGAAGGGGAGACTTCTAAAAGTTATGTAAAGGAAATGGGGCTCATTAAAATAAACTTGTTTAAAGAGGGAGGTATATGTAATAACAAGGAAGATGGCCACAGTTATTCAATCCACATAATTCTGATGCAAACTCTGGTTCAACCTTCAGAAACTGCGGGAAATATAGGTCACAGTTCCTCGGTGAGGCACTACATTTAAGAGAGTCTAATGCATTCGTATAGGAGCCCAATTTTAGACTGTGTACTATTGCCTCAATTAAAAGTGCATCTAATTTGAACAGCCCATCACTGATATTGTATAATGAATGCCTTTCATGCTTAAATAACTGCAGATTCTACAATGTTCCTTTCAAACCAAGAGAAACAATAAAAGCTGACTCTTACTTCTCGCCAGTTTGCCAGGTTATTAGAAGCTCTAATATGGTTGAAAATAGCGTTCAACTCCTGTGCTATAGGTATCGAATAACAGTGTTGGGAAATTCTGCCTTGCATATGGGACACCTTCACATATATACGCACACATCTCTCATGTATAGTGTGTGTGATGCGTATGAGGGGTGTTATCTGACTCTCCCTTGTCTTCTTCCCTAGGTGTGACGTATGTTATCTACCCCTTCCCTAGTCGCTCTTCCACACGAGTGACGTGTGTTGGGTATTATATGATTCTTCTGTCTGTTCTACAGGAGTGACGTGTTTGACGGGTGTTATCTAACTCTTCACTGTCTGCTCTTCCACAGGAGTGACGTGTGTGACGGGTGACCTCCTGCAGCGGGTAGAAGTGCCCAGCTTTGCCTTCGCTGGAGGTCGCGTCAACGTGAGTTGCATGTTTGACCTGAGGGACACGGGGCTGTACTCACTCAAGTGGTACCACAACGATACAGAATTCTACCGCTACGTGCCTACCGAAACTCACAGACCAGTTGACATCAAACCTACCATGAAGTTCCAAGCGCACGTGAGTACAATGGTGCTAGAGTACATATCTGAGCACACAGGAGCACACTCATGCTTGATTACATCCTGGATATTTAAATGATCCATTACCCCTGAACTAGTTAGTTTAATTTAAGGCAGATCGACGAAACAACAAGCAAAAAACTATGCTCTTTTAAATCATACACAATTGTCTCTACACTAATGTTTTAAAAGCTTGTAAACCCTTGGGGGGTCTTTAAAACAAGAATCAACAAAACAGTAGTGCAGTGGACTAATATCCGGTTTAGTTTCAAGTTGTGGTGGTGTTGTTATATACACAAGGAAAGAAGACAAGTGTTTCCTTGTCTTAGTCATATAAAATACTAACCAGAAGATTTTGCATCACGATCTAGACCTTGTTTGACATACCGTTGCACCAAGTAAAAATAAATTATGTAATGTTTGGTGCATTAAAGTTTCACAACCCACAAAAGAACTAACATAACCTATAATTTGTTTTCTATGATTGTTATTAACACTGTGGGTGTGTTATAATAAATAATTTAATAATATATATATATATATTATATATATATATATATATATATATATGTATATATATAATTTGAAAAAATACTCCCCTGAAGACAGGGAGGCCAAGAAGGTGATAAAAGAGACAGCAAAGGAAATTGTAAAGAAAAAGAAATCTGGAAGTTGAGGGAATGGGAGGAAGAAAGAGGGAAGTCATTGATGATCCATGGACTCCAGGAGGATGAAGGTTACCCAGGTAGTAAGATAAGATTTCGTTCGGATTTTTAACCCCGGAGGGTTAGCCACCCAGGTTACCCAAGAAAGTGAGTTATCGAGGACTGTCTGTCATATTTCCAGTGGGGTGCTCAATCTTGTCCCCCAGGATGCGACCCATACCAGTCGATCAACACCCAGGTACCGACCTGATGCTAGGTGAACAGGACAACAGGAAACGCGTCGAAGTGTTTCTACCCCGCCGGGAATCGAACCCGGGCCCTCCTTGTGTGAAGCGAGTTTTTTTCCAGGCAGGCCACGGGGTCACAGGAAGGGGAGAGGTAATGAGTGCGGGATCATATCGATCATGGAGTACACAAGAGGCGACGTAGTGAAAGAACACGTGGAGAATTTTAATAATATCTGGAAGTTCTTCGACTACAAAAACTGCGCGATTAAATTAACCTTTTGATACCTTATAGCTCAGGAGTGAGTATTTTGACAGAAAATATGCCTAAAGTGTGACTGTTATATCTAACTAGATGGAGACAAGAGGATGATGGATAGGGAACAACAAAGGAAGTATATGAGAATCTGGCCAAGAATGGAGAAGAGCAGGAGACGAAGGACCAGGAAGTAGAAACACCCGAACTCACGAAACTAATCCAGATGCTCCCTTGACCCCTGTCCCAGCTTGACCAACTGTAGGCCACTCCACACCTCCCTACCATTATCACTAACACCAAATTCCCAATCTTCATTTTTCTCCCTACACCCTCCTCAATCCCCTTCCCCTTCCCTACCATTAACCCTATCCTCTGACTCTTTCTGGCTGGGAGGTCTATACCATTTCCAGCTCAATGTTGCCAGTCTTGTTTGATGAACATCATGGAGAGAAATTGGACATAAACCATTAAATGTTAAGGTAAAGTAGTATCAGTGTGTGGTACAGTAAACCAGATGGTTTATCGAACAAGAGTAATGATTGAGCACATTTGACAGAAATAATATCTGATGCTCTATTTCCAGTAGGATACCAAGAGGTGAGAAGAATACACAGACTAAAGGAAAACGATTTCATATTGTGCCCATTCGAGATTACAGGACTCATAGTAGTTTTGTGAAATACAACCTGACACCTAATAAATGAAGGCCGACGCAGGAATGAGAGAGAGCAGCAACTGGCGATGGTAGACATCATAGCAGAAGCAGCCAGGAGTGCATTTAGGGTTGAAGCAAACTTAGTTATAATTGTAGAATTCAATCATACTGAAATAGGTTGGGAGAAATGGGACCCACAATGGGAGACTGGAAACGTGGAGGGCTAAGTTGATGGAGGTGATAAGAAACAACTTTCTGAGTCAGCTCATAGATAACATGACAAGGTAAAGAGGAAATGACAAGCCAGCAAGACTGATCCTAGTGATTACTTCAGGTACATGTGACATAAGCGAAAGAGATTATGAGAATCTCATGTGGGTCTGAACTTCGAGTACTTGACTAAAACCAAAGGTAGAGGAAAATATAGTAGATGGGGAGCTTAAGAATTCAAGCATTAGGAGGGATGATTCTGAATTGTTGAAAGACTTCCTAAATGTAATGAATTCGGACAGCGAATTAGAAAGTAAGTCAAAGGATGAGATGATGGAACACTTAGTTTTGGTCTCATTACTACAGAATGTATAAACATCTACTGAAGAACATAGAGAAGGATGACAATGTTGATCCACTGTATAAGAAATCTCCAGTATGAAGATTGACTTTGAGCCTTGAATCTTTACTCTCTTGAGAAATATAGAATGAAATATTTTACTGAAGTATATAGATGGATGATAGGCATAAACAAAGGCGATTTAAATAACATACTGAGAATATTGAATCAAGTAAGATCCAGAAATAACACATTTTAGTTAGACAAATTTACATTTAGAAAGGATATAGGTAAGTATTGGTTTTCAACCAGAGTTGTCGATGCGTGGGACAATCATCCGAGCAGGGTAATAGAGGCTAAGACCTTGGGAAGCCTTAATAAGAGATTGCATAAATATATGAGTGAGAAATGCTGGGTTTGATTAGTACCTGAGGTATTGAAGCTAATTCTTGGGAAGCTTAGGAAAAGGCTGTACAAGTGGGTAGGTGGGAATGATGGGCTTAGAAAAGGATCTGATTAATTTGTTGCAGTGTTCCTCCATTCTTATCTTTTTATAGGACCCACGAGGCTAAGAGGTAATAAATCTGAAGTGTGGTAAGCTAAGACGCATGACCAACATCTGAATATTGACCACTCCGACATATAGATAAGAAAACACACACACACACACACACACACACAACCACAGAACCATACACAAAGAAGATTGCAGATGGAGTACAGGATCAGGGGGCAAAGGCTGCAAACCTTACATCAACTAAATAATTGCTGCAGCGAATGCACGTCTGGCAAATCTAAAGCCAGCTTAGTCGTTCACGACACTACATACAGTAGAAAAAGACACTTATGAGCTGTTCAGGACATTTATTTAAGGAAACAGGTCACCACGACTTGCTTCAGTCCTAACACAGAGATAATTGAAAAAAAAAGAGCTAGTTTTCTGGAAAAGTTACAAAGTCGCTGACCGGTAAAATGATGTAAGTTGGAGTTTTTTTTTTTTTCAAATTGATTGGTGTTGGTCTTGTTGAGGATTCGTGCTGTAGGTTTACCATGTTGGAGTGTCTCACGAAGTTGTAATGGCAAGATTGCAAACAAACCAAACCACGGGTGGGGTTTGAACCCGCAGTCAGATAGTCTCAAAATTCCAGTGGTTAACACAACGGTCTGGAGTTTTGAGACACTCTGACCGCGGGTTCAAACCCCACCCGTGGTATGTTATGTTGGGGTGTGACAAAGTATAAGTGAGGAAACGACCAGATCTCTTGATAAACCACTGTACGGGCGGGGATTGAACTTGTGGTGAGTGAGTTATAAAACTCCAGACCGATGTGTAGCACTATCGTAACACACACACACACACACACACACACACACACACACACACACACACACACACACACACACACACACACACACACGCGCGCGCGCGCGCACACACGCACACACAACTACAAAACCTAATCAATTATAAAAAAAAAACAAATGCTGACTAAGGAAGAATTGATGGAAGAGCAGTGTAAAATAATGGAACATGAGTGGGAGAGCAAACTAGGTGAGCTTTCTGTGAAAGTGGAGAAGAGGATGGAGGCAGAGAAGGAGATATGGGAGTTACAAGCTGAAGCTTCAGAAGTCAGGATAAGGGCCCTAGACTATAAGGTAAATATGCTGAAGCGAGTTACAGGGCTAGTGCCCAGAGGAGACTTGTCACCTGAAGCAGGTACACCCCTATTAAATTAAGAGCCAAGGGAAAGGAAGGAGACGAGACTTATGCTAAAACCCTATCATTCCACCAAGCAAGGCCAAGAAATGCAGGGCGAGAACTGTTAGAAGGGATAGCAGTAAGTGAGGGGGGAGAAGGTAGAGAAGGTGACAGGTCCCATGCAGAGGCACGACCATGCCACCAAGAGTTACAGGAAAAAATAAGAGAGTCAATGGCTATGTACAAACAGGACCCAGAGAGACGGAGGAAAAGGCAAGAACTCGGTGTTTATTCATGGGCTTCAGGAGAGCAAAGGGAGGACATATAATGGAAGACAGCAGAAAGAAAAGCAGGAGATTGAAAATATCATCAAAGAAATAGGCGAGGAGAACATGACTGAGACAGTAAATTTTCAGAAAATAGGAGGGTACTTCAAGGGAAGAAATCGGCCAGTCAAAATTATTTTCACGACAGAAATGGTGCAGAACAGGGTCCTGCAAGAGAATTCATGGCTGCAAGGTGTTCCTGACTGTGACAGACCAAGAAGAGAATGACAACAGCTGTGGGAGAAGACACAGAAATGAAAGGGGCTAAGAAGAGAGACAAGGATGGAGTCAGCAGAAGACAACCAGAGCCAAACAGAGCAACAAGTGCCAATTCAGAACCACCCTCAGAACCCCACAACCAAACATGCTATCCCAACACAAACCATAATCTACACTTACAGCCTCACCCCACACTATGCTGTAGAACCCCACAGCACACTGCCAGGTCTCCCACCCCCACAGACCCCCCAGAACACAGTGTTGGAGAGGAAACTGACGGTATGGTACACCAACACTGATGGAATAACGAATTAGTGGAAGGAGTTGCACGAGAGAATCAAAGAGGCATCACCGGACATCACAGCTCTCACCAAAACCAAGCTCACAGGAATGATAACAGG